ACATATTGCCATACTAGTGTCTGTTGTATTCTGCTGCCTTTCCTATCCTCTACTATCCTCCCTCCCCTCCCCTCTTCTCTCTCTACCCCCTCTACTGTCATTCATTTCTCCCCCTTGTATTATTTTCCCCTTTCCCCTCACTTCCTCTTGTATGAAATTTTGTATAACCCTGAGGGTCTCCTTCCATTTCCATGCAATTTCCCTTCTCTCTCCCTTTCCCTCCCACCTCTCATCCCAGTTTAATGTTAATCTTCTTCTCATGCTCTTCGTCCCTACTCTGTTCTTAGTTACTCTCCTTATATCAAAGAAGACATTTGGCATTTGTTTTTTAGGGATTGGCTAGCTTCACTTAGCATAATCTGCTCTAATGCCATCCATTTCCCTGCAAATTCTATGATTTTGTCATTTTTTAATGCAGAGTAATACTCCATTGTGTATAAATGCCACATTTTTTTTATCCATTCATTAAGATCCAATCTTTAACAAGCACTTCTAAAACTTACCAAGATTGGATCATGTGTCTGGTAAACTCTCACTTGCATCCAGGTTTATGCAATCTACAGCAATTTTAATTGCCTGTTTACTTTTCTTTTTTATTATTAATTAATTTTTAAAAATTTATATATGACAGCGGAATGCATTACAATTCTTATTCCACATATAAAGCACAATTTTTCATATCTCAGGTTGTATATAAAGTATATTCACACCAATTCATGTCTTCATACATGTACTTTGGATAATAATGTCCATCACATTCCACCATCATTTCTAACCCCATGCCCCCTCCTTTCCCCTCCAACCCCGCCCTATCTAGAGTTCATCTATTCCTCCCATGCTCCCCTATCCTACCCACTATGAATCAGTCTCCTTATATCAGAGAAAACATTTGGCATTTGTTTTTTTGGGGGGGATTGGCTAACTTCACTTACCATTATCTTCTCTAACTCCATCCATTTACCTGCAAAAACTACTGTAATATTTCATCTCACTCCAGTCAGAATGGCAGCTATTATGAATACAAACAACAATAAGTGTTGGTGAGGATGTAGGGAAAAAGGTACACTCATACACTGATGGTGGGACTGCAAATTGGTGCAGCTGATATGGAAAGCAGTATGGAGATTTCTTGGAAAATTGGGACTGGAACCACCATTTGACCCAACTATCCCTCTCCTCCGGTCTATATCCAAACGACTTAAAAATAGCATACTACAGGGACACAGCCACATCAATGTTTATAGCAGCACAATTCACAATAGCTAAACTGTGGAACCAACCAAATGCCCTTCAATAGATGAATGGATAAAAAAAAATGGGCATATATACACAATGGAATCGTACTCAGCCTGTTTACTTTTCTACCTCTCCCACTTGACTAGATGAAGTTCCTAGATGCAGGAACTATGTCTTATATACCCATCTCATTACTTGCATTTAGAATTAGACAATTAATATTATTTTTGTCAAGTGAATAATCAATGTCTAACTGTATGCTTATTAAATATATTTGAGTTGCCTGAATCCTAGCTTATGTCTGTGTAAAAAAAAAAAAAATTCTGTCAATAGACCGATTTAGGTAATTTCCTTAATCTGACAACACATAATTTGTAGAATATCTGTGTTTGATGCCTCTTATAAAAATTCTTACATCCCCTTCACAAAAAGCGAATGTCCTTTTTTTTCTTTCATCAGTGAATAGATGGTGGAAGGGCTGTTTGGGATTCATGTGCTGAAAGGATTGCTCTTCACTGTGTTGAGTGTCGTCATCTTCCCTCTATGGGCAGCTCCAGTATTTCTAGCAATAGGTTATAAGGGTGAAAGGAGCAATCTAAGAGACAGGCTGCCTAAGCAGCTACAACTCCAGGTCCAAGAAGGGTGCTAGAGAGTGGGTTTTGCCTTTTCATCATCTATTGTTTCTTTCATGTAGTGTTGCTGACTTGTAAAACAGGTGAGGCAAAACAGGTATGCATGTACATGACTTATCATCAACACAACTTGGACCAGAGTCAGTAGGAGATTTATCCCATGTGCAGTACCCTATAAGATTTTGGTTTTCCTTTTTGTGATGTGTCCTTGTCCTGGAACACAAACCCTTTCCAGATCTCTCCTATATCTCCTGTAAGTTTGGGCCACTTACTGGTTCTAAATTTCAGTGCATAAGAATAATCTGGAAATTATGTTAAAACCATATTTCTGGATACCACCTACAAAGTTCTGTTTCTGTAGGTCTGAGAAGGAGTCCTAGATTTGATTTTCTATAAGAACTTTCAGGTGTTGCTATTTTAAAACACAAAACTTTTACTGTTGAGGAATGGGTGAGGAACATGACCCAAACTGTCAATCTACTTATTGGTCAACATCTTACTGTGTTTCAGAGCCCCTCACTGATATAGTGAAAATATTTCAGACTATTGCCTGTAGAATTTCCCTCCTGTTGTGTCTTTCTTTTTTTATATGGTCTGGGTTGACATGAAGTTTCTTGAATTTTCTGCTGATTCCTTTTATATCATCTACTAGCTAATGTCTTTCCTTCCATCTATACAGCAGATTGCCTTTCTGATTCTCCTTCAGATCAATACTTCCTACTCATCCTTCCTCCAAGTTTTACATGTATCTTTAAAAATATTTTTATAGCCCTATAAAAATTCCATTTGTGATACTCTCCTGTCTTTATTGATTGGCTGCTCTATTTTCTTCATATTCATTTGGCACTACAATATACTACCATCAGGAAAAGTTATTATAAATCTGCTTACAAAACTATAAAAATATCTAAACTACTAGTCTTCTATATGCTCAGGCTCAATTGCTGTGTGTAGAATATCTTTTGGCCTCTTTGGAGACCAGCTTGTTCTATCCCCTGTGACTTCATAATGTATTTTTTTTTTCAACCAAGGTATAATTTACATTCAGTAACACTCATTCTTTTTGCTGTACATTCAATGAGTTTTAACCAATGCATACAGTAATGTAACAACCACCATAGTTGAGATAAAGAACAGTTCTATCCCCCCAAAAGTTTCCTCATGCTTCCTTGTAGCACTGTCCCCCCATGCCTAGGTGTTGGCAACCACCAATTTGTTTTCTGTCTATAGTTTTGCCTGTTTCAGAATGTGGGATTACACACTATGTGTGAGTCTGGCTTCCTTTGCTTAGCATAATGCAAGATTCAACATGTAATTCATAAAATTGTTGCTTGTATCCATAGGTCTTTCTTTTTGATTCCTGAGTAGTCCATTGTGCGGATCTACCATAGTTGTTTATACATTCTAAAAATATTTTTAATTGCTATGCTCTCTTCTATCCTCTAAATTTAAACTCCTTTTTTTTTTCAATTTGGAAAAAGATTTCCAAATTTCTTACGTGCTGTAGGTGGGAATAAAAACTAAATAGTACTCAACAAGCTCTGTATTTCTGCACCTGCCATATTCCTGATGCTTCTTAAACCCATTTTAACCAATTCTTAGGTAGGATCTCAACTGTGGGGCAAATCTATTCCTGAGAAGCCAGTTCTATGCATCCTTTTGGATTGAATGTCTTCCAAGTTGCAATTTGCAAGACTGACCTGAGCTCTGTTGTTTAGGATCATTGCTACAATTCCCAGGAGAGATGTAAGAAGGACTTCCCTTTCTCCTACCAGGTCTCAAATTATATACATACATCCTTGGTAATTTGGAACCAGTTGCCTCTTGTTTTACCCCTGAATTAGGGCCCTGTTCTCCTAGTATGAATGTTTGGTTCCAAACAACCTAGTATAGGAAATCCCATAGCTTACTTGACTTATGTCTAAGATGGCACTCACATAGTTTTGTAGGATGGATAACTGAAGTATAATATACTATGGTAATTATCAATATGGAACAGTCCCATCTACCACAGTTTATGTGGAGAAAACATAACCAGCACCAGCAACTTTACCTAACCTATATGATTTAAAATATGAACATAATGTAATCTACACTGTAAAGATTCTAAGGCTTATTTCCATTTTAGTTAATTTAATTAGTACTGAAGCTTCAGAAGCTCAGTCATGGTCAGGAATATCATTTCTTGATATTTGCTTCATTGGTTCTAGTTACTAACAGAAATAAAATGAAAATATAAATGTTTATTTAAACTTGAATTTAGTTATTGCATTTAAAGAAGAAATTCTAAAACCTAAGGATGGGTAAATTTTAAGCTAAGTATCCTCAACTATCCTTATAATAAGCATTTTGTTCTATTTAGCATTTTACAACAGATTCAAAATGTAGTTCAGAATTTCATTATACTTTGGTCTTAGAGTGTTACTATATTATATTTCTCCAAAAACTTACCTTCTCTTTTTATTTAAAAAATATATATATACATGTATACCTATATATCTATATACCTACACCTTATATATCTGTGTGTATACGTGTGTGTATGTGTGTGTGTATATATATATATATATATATATATACACTTTGGTATTGGGAATTGAACCTAGGGTGCTTTACTACTGAGCTACATCCCCAGCCCCTTTTATTTTCTATTTTAAGTCATGGTCTCACTAAGTTACTCAGGCTGTCCTGGAACTTGTGATCCTCCTGCCTCCCTAGTTGTTGAAATTACAAGCATTGGCCACTGTATTTGGCTAAAGAGAATACTTTTGAACAATGCCCTTTGAATACATTCAGATATTGAATGTTTTATTTATCTTTTACTTACCCTCTAATAAATAGATGAACATTAAGTTAGAAAATATAGTTTTTTCTTAAAAGGTAGACATGCTGACATTTCTTTTTATCTTTCTTTTATACAGGTGTTTGCTTCAGAATGGTAAGTCAATACACTTTATTATTTTTTTCACTTGCTTCCTGTTATTTTTAATCAGAGACAGTGCAATTTTCTGCATAGTGCTAGCCTACTCCTTATTTACTGCCCTTGACAGCAAATGAAGATGTAAATGAATTTCATTGAAATTACTGTTTTATTAAAGCTGTCCTTTAAAAATAGTCAGAAACATTACAGCCTTCTTATTTATTAGTTAATATTTTCTATGAATTTCAAAAGCACCTCTCTTGGTTGATTTGAATTAAACATTATGATCAGATATATTGAGTACAAAGTAGGGGCTCTTTTACGTGTTCTGGATAGAAAAATGCTCCAGGCAAGAGAGCATATCTAGCACTGCAAAATGAAAAATGCTAATGTTGAATATGAAAGCAGTTCCCAGGTTTTCAGCAGTTATATATCCTTTTTCTCTTTTTAAATTTTTATTTGTTAAAATACTCTTTTCCTAAAAGTTAACTGTGGCTTGTATTTTCACCTACTGTTGCTGCTGGGAGTCACTTGATTAAGTTTCTGGTCCCCAACCCCTGAGAGTTAGTTTCAACACTTTCCTAACAGTAAAGCCTCTATATATTGAGATAGCTCCATCCTCCACAACTCAGATTGTCTCCATTTTCATAATTATCTTGAATTATATTCTGAGCCAATTCCTATACCCATCTGAGCAAAAATTGGTAGAAAATAGTAAAAAGTAAAATAAAAATAATTAAAAATTAATAAAATGATTTTGGTTTGTGTTGCTTCATCTTGCTGGGTCTGTGGAGTATAGATCTTAACCACCCTAGCCTCCAAGCAGGTGAAGAGCATAGTTTTGAAAACTTCAGGTTGGCTGGATCCACAAGAATTTTTAGAATAATGTGGTTAAAATAATTCAAAATCAAAATGTTTCTTGTTTTTTTTTTTTTTTTTCATTTTTAGTAGAATAACTGAATTTGAAACTGGGAAAAGAATTTAAAGAAACTATTAAGAATCATGGGGGGTAGGGGTGCTAGGGTTGTGGCTGAGTGGTAAAGCACTTCTCTAGCACGTGTGAGGCACTGGGTTCGATTCTCAGCACCGCATACAAATAAATAAAACTAAAGGTCCATTCACAACTATATATATATATGAATCATAGGAAAGATAAATTTATCCATAAACAATTATAACATTTTTCTGGTAAATCCAGAGCCATCAAAACTCATCAGAATCTTTTAATCTATGATAATTCTGCAAACCAGCTTGTGTAGGCTAGTGTTCTTGATAGTTTAATTTTCTTGTTAAAATTATTTTCCCTCATTTTTGTTGGAAATTTCTCAGTGTTTTAGTTTTTGTTCCTGCCCTTGAATGCTTAATGTTGATCATAACAGGATGTTTCTTGTCAGTGATTGAGAATCTTGGATTGATGACAATGCATCAGATTGACAATGCAATTTTAGTGTCCACAGGCCTGCGGGCAATGTGGCTGAATTTTATAGATCCCCAAACACATGACAGAAACTGGTTCTGAAATAATTCCCACTATTAGTTTCTATTTTTGTAATGTGTTGTCCTGAAAGTGGAATTTAATAGAAGATACCATTTAAGTGAAGGTTCTTGCTATTAAATAGAGGTGTGACTGGTTCAGCTCTGCCAGTGTTGGCATAGACTATATTTTAGAATAAAAATATTATCAGGTTAACATTTTGAATATTGGAATAAAATATTTTATGAATTCAGACTTTTCGTGATTGACTTCATCTCTTTTGTTTTCTCCTGAAACCAGTACACAGAAGATGAAGCTAAGAAAATAGGAGTGGTTGGCTGGGTGAAGAATACCAGCAAAGGCACCGTGACAGGCCAAGTACAAGGTCCTGAAGACAAGGTCAATTCCATGTGAGTAATAAGACTAATAACACGTGTGTAAATTTCACTGGACAATAAGAATAGTACTGATGGGCCAGGTTTAGTTTGTAGATTATAAACAAACTCAGATTTCTAGGTGGGCTAGCAAAGAAATTCAGAGGTAGGGTGAAATTTCTTGTTTAGGAATTTCCCTTGGGCAGGCCTCAGGAGAGGCAACTGCATGACTCCCCATTTTGTATGAATTTGTCCTGGTGAGTCTCCCCTAATGTCCAGGGCCCACATTTCTCATTTGAAGTTTTAGGATAGAAGCATTTAGCCTTGGAATGGTGGTTAAAGTAATCTTCAAGGCAAAAAGATCACCATCTCCTTTTAATGTAAGTGCTTTATATATCTACTTGCAACTTTATTTTTACTGTCAATGAGAGTGTGTTCAGGTTACCATCATATGAATTCTTGCAGTCAACAGAGACAAGATTCAGTAATATGGGGAATAGTGTCCTGTGGACACAATGTCATTTTCAAAGGCTTTGTCTCTTCAGCTTCATCGTTTCTAATGTTCTTTGTAGTCTTTTTTTTTAAAATAAAAAATAGCTATCATTTTTTAAGCATTTACATATTGGGGAATATGCTAAGCACTTTATATAAATTATCTCATTTAATCTTTACAGCAGATCCTATGAGGTAGACAGTATTACCCACTTTATTTTATTTTATTGATTATGAATTGTCTCTGTTTTCATTACTTAATATATTCAGATTTTAAAAGCATTACTTTTTGGCTTATTATACAATTAAGAAATATAAGGCAGAGAGTTATAAAGGCAGTGATAGTACTCTGCCCCTTTATGTAACACGTGCCAGTGGCTTTGTGAATAGTTTTAACAGTTTTCTGTTTCACTTCAAGTTATTTAAGTGTGCATTTATGGTTAAGGTTTTGCTTGTTATTACTGAAATGGTATACTTCATGCATATTTTCTGTAACTTGTATTTCATTTTATGGGACATTCTAAAATAAGTAAACATATAATGACTAACTCCTTATGTTTTCTAATTTATTTATATATAGGTACATACTTAAATTTATGTGTAAAATCACATTCTGGCTTAAAAAGCCCAAAAATTCAATTACACAAAATGTGGGTTAAGAGTTAATGAACAGGGCTGCGGCTATAGCTCATTCATTGGTAGAGCACCTGTCTCGAATAGGTGAGGCACCGGGTTTGATCCTCAGCACCACATAAAAATAAATGAAGATATTGTGTCCAACTACAACTAAAAAATAAATGTTTTTTAAAAAAGAGTTAATGAACAAAAAATGATATTTTTCAAGAGAATTACCAGAAAATGCACAAAAGATTGTGAGATTTACATTGTACAGAATGGATAAGTTCAATGGATGAGAAAATGTCAAATGGTCATGAAGTAGTTTAAGAATGGAGGCCATGTGAAGGATGTTTTATTTTTTATTTTTAAATTTTTTTTTGTGTGTGGTACTAGGGATTGAACCCATGTTTGCTTAACTACTGAGCCACATCCCCAGCCCTTTTTAATTTTTATTTTGAGATGGTCTAACAAGATGCTTCGGCCTTGCTAAGGTCCTGAGGCTGGCTTTGAATCCTTCTTTTTTTAAAAATATTTGTTATTTTTTAGTTGTAGTTGGACACAATATCTTTATTTTATTTTTATGTGGTGCTGAGGATCGAACCCAGGGCCTCACACGAGCTAGGCGAGCTCTCTACCACTGAGCCACAACCCCAGTCCCGGCCTTGAATCCTTCTGCCTCAGCCTTCTGAGTTGCTGGGATTACACGCATGTGCCACCGTGCCTGGCAGGATGGAAGCCCATTCCAATCATGTTGTATTCCTAATCCACATTAGAGCAGACATTTGAGTGATTGGCTTAACATGAATGAAATCATATCACATGTTCCCCTTTTCCCTTTTCAACTTCTGCATTCTTTACCCCCCCCCCCCCCCATGTAAGAAATGTGTGTTGGCAAGCTGGTATCCTTCTGTGTTTGTCTTCATGGTCACATACTCTCTCTAGGTCTCTCTCTGTCCCCTCACCCCCACCCCCACACACATGTAGGCACACATATGTTTATAATAGGATCATAGTATATGCCCTTCTCTCGACCTCACTTTTTTTTTCCCCCTCCTTACTTGGAATTGAACCCAGGGGTGCTCTACCACTGAGCTACATCCTCAACCCTTTGTATTTTTTGAGACAGGGTCTTACTAAGTTACCTCTCTCTTTTATCACTCAAAGATATATCCAGAAAATCCTTCTGAGCCAAACTGTATAACTCGAATTCATTCTTTTTAATGGCTGCTTAACTTACACAGTTAGGTAAACCATTATTTATTACCTATTGCTAGGAACCCTTTTTGTGTTTGTTTCTTGTTTTTTACAATAAGACTAATACTACAATCAACGTTTTATTATTGAATTTTAAAAAAACTTTTTGAGTTGTTGATGGACCTGTATTTTATTCATTTATTTATATGCAGTGCTGAGAATCAAACCCAATACCCCACACATGCTCCACCACTGAGCCACAACCCCAGCCCTATTGAATTTATTTTTATGGGATTGATTCCCAAGGGCATGATTTGTTGGTTGAAGTGTCTGTGTATTTTTAATGTAAAAAATTCATCAAAGTGCTTTTAGAGCAGCTGTAAACAATTTATGTTATTTCCTCCTCATGTTGTTGGCAATGGGTATGATTGCTCTCTAATTTTTCTTTTTATCTGATTGGCTATTGGGTGATTGTTATTTCACTATAATTTGCAATTCTCTAATTATTAGTTAGCTTGAGCATCTTCAAGGTTATTATTGAGATATGATTTATCTTCCCAGTCATTTTTGTTTATTTCTAGTTTTTAATTTGAATTAGTTTCTTCTTTGATTGACTATTTTTTTAGTGTAGTTCCTTCCTTTGCTGGTTTTTACTTTTTTTTTTTTAATTTCATCTTCATGGAATATTTTGTTGAGAATATTTTAAAGTGCAGGCTTTCTGGTTGCGAATTCCTTTGATTTTTGTTTATCATGGAAGGTTTTTATTTCATATTCAAATCTGAAGCTTAATTTTGCTGGATATAGGATTGTTGGTTGGCATCCATTTTCTTTCAGAGCTTGGTATATATTATTCCAGGACCTCCTAGTTCTGAGGTTCTGGGCTGAGAAATCAGCTGACACCCAAATTGATTTCCCTCTATACATCTGATTTTTTTTTTCTCTTGCAGCCTTTAAAATCTGAATGTTAGGCATTTTTATTATAATATGCCTTGATGTGGGTTTGTTGTAATTTTGCATATTTGAGGTCCTATAAACCTCTTGTATTTAATTTTCCATTTCATTCTCTAGCTTTGGAAAATTTTCTGGTATTATTAAATTGAAAAGATTGTGCGTTCCTTTAGTTTGTATCTCCATGCCTTCATCTAGCCTGATAAATCTTAAATTTGGTCTTTTCAGTTATCCCATAATTTTTGGAAGTTCTTTTCATGGTTTCTTAACATCTTCTCTCCATGGTCAACTCTATTTTCAAGATTATATATTTTGTCTTCTTTGCCACTTCTTCCAAGTGGACTTGTATATTGGTGATGTTTTCTATTGAATTTTTAATTTGGTTTATTGTTTCCTTCATTTCAAGAATTTCTGTTTTTTTTTCTTTCAAAATCTCTATCTCTTTATTGAGATCTCTTTATCTCCCCATCTTTTTATTTTGCTACCTGTATTTGCTCTCTTACATCATCCTTTCCTTCACAGATCAATTTAATGATGTACATTCTAAATTCCTTCTCTGACATTTCTACCACCGTGGTATTGATGGATTCTGTTATCAGAGTATCTTGATTTGCTTGGGGTGATTTGTTCTCTTGCTTTTTCATGTTGTTTGTGTGTCTACCCAACTAACAGTAGAGTTTCTGAGGCAGTAGAGTTTCTTCTATTCTGTGGACTTATGGTGTCTGTGAAGGTTTCCAGTACCTCACAGTTTAGGGGGAGACAAGTAATAACAACAACCAATGCAAATAATTTACAGCATTAAACCAAATAGTTCCTACTATGATGTCTACAATGTTAATTATAATAATAAACAGAAATTATATGATCAGGTATAGCCTATAATAACAGCAAGTTTGCAAAAGGGTTTACATTTTCAAATGGTGGACAGGGAGAGAACAGAAGTGATATAGGGTGTGATGATTATGAGGGAGGAGGAGAGAAGACAGAAGTAAAAGGTTAAAAGAAGGGTGATGGGGAGAATAATAGGGATTGGCTGTTAGCAGAAGAGAAGAGAGAATCAAGGGAACCAGGTAGGAGAAAAAATATACATAAAGCAAAAATTTAAATAAAAAATTAAAAGAATATAAAACAAAACTAAAATATACTAATCAAACATTCTAGTTCACAAAAAAACTAATCCATGTAAAATAATTGGCTTCAAAAATGCTAGACATGAGGGGCTGGGGTTGTGGCTCAGCTGTAGGCTCTTGCCGAGCATGTGTGAGGCACTGGGTTCAATCCCCAGCAACACATAAACAAACTAAATAAACAAAATGAAGGTATTGTGTCCATCTACAACTAAACAAATATTTTTTAAAAATGCTAGACATGAGAAGGAAAAAAAAAAAGGAAACTGTATAAATGTCCACGTACTTAAAGGTCACAATTAAACAGTGAAAAAAAAATTTTTTTTTGATGAAAAGTTGAAGAATTCTTTCTGTTGTAGTTCAAAGTATTCTCAGCTTCTCAGAGGTTTTAGGAGTGTGATGCTCCACCCTCTGGATTGCTGGAGTGAGAGAGGTAATCCGGTAGGTGGAATTCCTGGAGGCAGGGTTTAGTCTTCTGCAGGCTCCAGGCTCTTTGCTGAATGCCAATTGGTCTAGAGATTTTAAGTCAGTGCATCTCCAGCGCCCGGTACTTGCTGGTCCACGCTCCAAGACTGTACCCCAGGGATCATCCCTGAGTTCAACTCATATGGTGGGGGAGCCAATTCTTAGTCTCCTACATCACCTGCAGACCCCACGTTTT